AATGCAGGGCTGTTCCCTTCAGCATATCTTTGTCCAGGTTGGTTTTAAATGCTTCTGACAGTGAAGTTTCCACTTTTTGGTCAGAGATTAACCTCACACTCTAACAGATCTCTGTAACTGGAACAATTTTTGGATGCATACTATGTGTACAACAGTGGCCTAATTTCCCACTACAGAAGTGCACGCAACACAATTAGGCCTATTTTATACACATGGCATGGATGACTTAAACAGTGTTAATTTAGTATTTGTCCTTTCATAAGATTTTAGGCCAGGAGGAACTCTTATGATCATCTAGTCTGGTCCCCTGCATGACACAGGCCAGGTCACTGGTACATTTGATCCAAATGGGCCACACTTCTGGATGTGCCTTTATATGTACCTCTGTTTTACAATCTGTAACATAAGAACAAGTAGCCTTGTGAAGTGCTATGGGACACAGGGAGGAAAACATGGGATAAAAACTAAGTGTTAATGATTAATTATGAGATGGAGGGAATAGATAAGAGAGATAGACAGACAGATAAATAGACTACTAGCTAGCTAGCTAGAGCTTATGCAAGTGCCTGATTAACAGCCCTGGAGACAGAGCTGAAGAACAGGAGCAGCATGGGCAAAAACAATGAAAGCATCTATGCACCTTCTAGCTCCCTCCCCCACCCCATATACTTCAATGAATAACTGGAGAGAGCATTCAGGACATGAGAAGGGAATTTCACCTCCATGGCTTCTTGATGAAGTGACAAGAGCATCAATTAGTGTCATTTGTGGAGGGAGCGGTGGTGTGTTTGACATGGGGATATCTGGACTGAGACCACCATCTCATTTCACACCACAAGCTGTCAGAGAGCAGCGATTTTTAGCCAGCCCTTTTTTCTAATACTGGTGAAGATAACAAGACAGATTGCCCTCCAAGACACCTAAGTGGTTCAGAATCTCCATCAGCCAATCACATGCCCCCTTCCTTCCAACCCATTAAATAAAGAAGTTATATTCTGAGGGCACAGCAGTAACCGGGGCTCCCCTTTATTACTATCACTTAGCAGATGGAGTCACTCAGAGCGCCTTCAGTGTAACTGAATGGCTTGCACTCTGCAGGCTGGACTACTGGCAGGGTTTTCACTGCCGATGGCCTGCAAAAAGCGGGGGAAGAAGAGGTTGGCAGTGAGACTTGGTGAATGTGGTGCCAGTACCCTATGCCAGCAAAATTACAAGGCTGAAATCCTGTAGCTAGATAGGGCAAAACTGTTCACAGCGAACAGTTTAATTGATGAACATAGAAATGCTTTGACTTTTATTAATCTGTTCATTGTGTGAAACCATTTGGCAAATGGTTTATGCAAACATGTCAGCCTAGGGTTACTCCTCCGCTTGCTGTATTTTACCAGCCCAAAGCCACCTGCCTGTGCTGTGCAGCAGTCATATGCTATGCTTGCTCTTCTCTATGGGATGACTCCCAAGTCCCTGACTGTTCTCAGGCTGGCTGCACTACTACCTGTGTAAATACTTATCTGTGCAAGCATTCGTGGCACTTCCCCTTCCAGCAAAGAGCCTGTGAACACAAACTTGCTTGTGCAGTTGTTTGTGGGGAGTGCAAAGAGAGACAAAGCAAACATCTGCCTTTCATTGGATGTTCCCAAACACTGGTTTGGCCGCATTCGGCCAGCTGTTTGCAGCAGCTGCTGCCAAGGCTGGGCTGGGGTGGAGGGGAGGTGGAATAGTGAAAGGGAGAAGGTGGCCATTCATTACAACTAACCATTCTGCAGTGAGCAAAATCCATCTCTTGCTCATTGTGTCCAAAGAGACACATCCCAACCTGTTCAGCTTAATAATTCTCAACTAGCTCGTTTTCTCCTGTTTCGTGGCAGGAATAAAGCCCTTATCCTGCTCTTGCTGTAAGTTCCATTTTACATCCTTGATAACTCAACATTAGACTTTATAAGAGTCAATTGAGAAAGCCCCAAGGGAGTCTTTGATATAAATACCTTCAAGATGCAGGGCTTATAAACTGAGATGAAAAAATTGTTTTTTGTCCTGCCTGTCCCAGGCCTGCTATCATAGCACTGATGTTTATAATTCACTGCCTGGGTCTGGGTTTGTCTCTGTCTAGGCACAGATTGCTGTCTGCCTGGCCTAGTCAGTAGCCATGTGTTTGTGTGATCTGGGAGTAAATTTTCAAAAGTACCTAATGAGGTTTAAGTGCATAAGTCTCATTAACTTTCAATTAAACATGGAGTCAAAGTTGCTAAGTCACTTTTGAAAATGGGACTTAGGTGCTTTTGAAAATGTTACCCTGGACAAGGAATTTTTCCATCTTTTCCTGCCTCACCCCCTGACTGTTACCTCTTTGATTCATTTGGCCTCTACATTTGTTCATGTGTTTCCAGGACTTGTCTGTCCCTCGGACTGCTGACTGTGTAACCTTCTCTCAAGGTTTGTCTACACTACAGCGGCACAGCTGCCGTGGTGCAGCTACGCTGCTATAGCGCTAGTGTAGATGCTTGCTGCAGCATCCAAAAGGCTTTTTTGGGTCTCTGTGATAAATCCATTCCCACAAGAGGCAGTAGCTAAGTCAGTGGAAGAATTCTTCCATTGACCTAGTGGTGTCTATACTGGGGCCTAGTCCAGTTAACTACGTTTTTGAGGGGTGTGCATTTTTCACAGTCCTTAGCAATTTAACAAGGTTGACCAATGTTTTAGATGAATACCAGGCCTGTCTTCAGGATTGTCAATGCAGCCCCATTCACCAGTGCTGCATTTACTTAAAAAAATAAAGAAGTGGAGTCTGGTAAAATAATGCCGTTGCTATAAACCCGACTCTACTGAAAACGGAGGTGCTAAGCAAAGCTTATGCCTGACGGTGTTATTGTTTTCAGTCTCAACAAAGTAATGTTTAAGCTCACTTTTTAACTCCACCCTTGCTCAAATTAGCCTGTCTTCCCAAGCAATAATGGAAAAAAATCTTTTTATCCAGCTGTGCATTTTCCTATACAAATTTGTTTCCATTAAATTGTTCCCTTTTGTCCTCTTAAAAAGCATATTTTAAATAATAACAGTGCGAAAAAAATTATACACTGCAAAAAAGGTACTCTGCTGTGTGCCTTTCTACAACAGTTATCTCTCTCAATGGATGGATGAAAACCTTTAAAATGGTATTGAGGTGGAGGCAAGAGACACAAAAATTCCTAGAGCTCTATGCAGCCAGACATTTCAACAGCCAACACATGGCAAAGACTAATCTTAGAAAACTAAATTATATAGGTGATGTGAACCTAATGTTCTCTTTCTGCTTTGCAAAAAACAGTTCTGTGCAAGTGGGGTGAAGGCACATACTGTACTTTGGTTTTGGAAAATTTATTTTTCTGTAATCCCTAAATTCAATGAAGGAAAGTAAATTTAATCTTTTAAAAAACCCACCCAACTTTCTCCCCAAAAAACACTTTTTAGAGAGGAGAGTCATCATTCACAAGGCAACATGCACGGCAGAGCTGTTTGAATAGTGTGTGCGTGTGTGTGTGGGAGGAGGAGGAAAATGAATGAGTATTTCAAGAATTCACTTGGATCTGTCCATTTTTTAGCCTCTTCATACTCAGTGACTACACGTGCTTGACCACAAACTAATGTATGTATCATAGGACATGCGCAGCTACTTATTAATCAACTGAATGACCAGTCTGGAAGCTTGAAAATTGGCCACCTTTATGTATAATGCATACGCTGCTGCTTTTTCACTTGTGATTTCCTCTAAGTGCAGCTGAATACCAAAGAGAATTGCAAACAACAAAGGCAAAATTTGCTGAATGCATTTCTCAACTGCTATTTCAACTAGCTGCATCTCCTCGGGGGAGCAGGGGAGACTGCAGTGCCGCAGCCTTTCCCTAAACTCCTCAGAGACAATCATTTTGAGAATGCCGCTAGTCTTGTGTTAACTATGGGGACTGCTGACTTTGTAAAAGTGGCCACTGTCCCTGGCCTTCAGCTGAAGCTTGGCTCCGAGTTTGAATTTTGAACACCATCGAATGTGTGGGCTGTGTGGATTGAGGTCTGAGATTTGGATCATCATTAATATTCTGTGAATGTGGTTCCCTTAGTCAGCATAGAAAGATGCAGCAACTATGCTGGTGGGTGACAGGGTTGCCTATGGCATGCTTTTGAAAGCACTTTGTTTAATTCGCCTTGAGCTTCTACAGGGGGCAGGCCCAGGAGATGCCACCCAGTTCTCAGCCAGTACAACCAAGCAGATGGGTTGCAAGATTGTCACCGTGACACTTTCCACTCCTAGCATGCCTGAGAAGAGTGTGCAGGTAATCCTCTTGTCCTTTCATTGCTTCCCTGTGGGTGTGAGTACAGTCCCCAGTTAGACTGCACACAGAGAGGAGGCCTTCTGGAAACAATTGCAGGCTCTAAGGCTTGGTCTACACTAAAGGGGAAGGTCAAATCAAGATTCGGAACACCAGCTATGTTAATTACATACTTCGAGTCAATGTACCTTGATTTGAGTTTCCCCACTGTCCCCACAGCGGGAGCAAATGTTCCTGGTAGCTTTCCTTACTCCTTGCAGGACCAAGAATACCGGCCACCAATGGGGGTGCCCTCTGAGTTAGATTTAGTGGGTCTTTACTAGACCCCCTAAATCAAACTCCAGAAGATTGATTGCAGCAGTGTTGATCTTCTATGGAGTGAAGACATGGCCTAAGGGTTTTCAGAAAGGAGTGGAAGAGAAACATATCTGGGTCACTGACTATGTCTGTGCCAAGACACAAATTGGCCCAAGGTTTCTCTTCTGGAATCTAAAGATGTAAAATCCCCCCATGCATCATTTCCAGATACTGTTTTCATGTACTTGAACTCTACCAAAAATTGATTTGTTCTTTCTGGTTTGTCATATCTGCATGATCCCCTTACACTGCTTCTCCTTCCCCAGCTGTTCACATCTGCCTGTTCCTTGCCGTTCACCCTGTCCTCTTTCCTTTGGTGTGATTGAGAAAGTCTCCTCTTACCTTTGTGCCTATGTCCCTCTGCTGGTTCCTGACATCAAAAAGCTGCAGCTCAGTGGATTTTTTTCCAGCTGATGTCATGAATGTTGCCTAATCACCATGTACATTTGCCGACAGGCACTGGGGACTCAACATTAGGAATCCTTAAGGATGGGTCACCAAGGCCAATATTTGAACTGCAAGAAACAAAATAGAAGAGGAGGATACATCAGGGGCATACAGGAGTGTCAATGAAAGCAATGGATCAGTTACTGCACAGAGATCAAAGTTGTCAAACAGTGGATCAGACACAATGGCAAAGATATCAGATATAAAACAACATAAGACCTCAATAGATCAGTTGTTGGACCCAGTAAATAAACAGGAAAGTAAGCCAGCCCTTATTTGAGGGAAAAAAATCAAGAGATCTTTGGCACTAAAAAGACAGAAATAAAACCAGGAAAAGTTTCAGAAAGAAAAACAAATTCTGTGCAGGATTTAGGAAAACGAGGCAGCGAATTAAACATCAGAACAACGGGGCAGATCGACAGAGAGATCAATAGACGTAGAACAAATATCAGTGATGGACAACCTGGGGACAAGCAGCAGGAGACACACAGATCTGGGACAAGTCTATTAGTGTCAGAAGCATGCTAGTTACTGGCATGTTTAAATACAGTTGTTGCTCACAGAGTTCTCACACAGTTTCTCTGACCGGTTTGGATGGTGATTTTTTTCCCTGTGAATTCTGCCTGCCAAACCATGCTATTGACCAGCTAGCCTGCAGTATGATTTTATTGCATAGAACTGTAACCTCCACATCCATACCTGTCAGAGAAATTGAGCTTAGAAGCAACTGTGATTTACACATGGTTTTAACTAGCATATTCCTGATCCTATTGTGGACAGGGCTTTAGAGAGATAACATACCTCTCTCCTCCTTCCAAAGCAGATGCAAAAGAATATTGACAGACAAAAGAAAAGCATCTGTAAGATGGATGGAACCGTGACAGAGATCAGGGACATGGGATAGAGGCCGGGAGACACTAAAGACATGTGAAAGACCAAAAGCAAATAATAAAGAGCAGAAGCAGGTCAGTGACATATACCAGGCAAACTGCAAACTATCGGAACAATGGAGAACAATTGGATAATCAATCAGAAAGACAAGGCTGAGAGGCATCAGGAAAGGCAACTGATACCTGGAGGTCAGTTATGAAGCCTAGGATCTAAACTGGAAATAGGAGGACAATAACTCAAAAGCCATGACTGCTTTTTAACAGTGAAACGGATATTGGAGAGGCAAGGCAGGTATTTGAATGCAGGATCCGTGCTTAGAGTGTAGCAAATGTCAGTGCAGAAAAACATAGATGAGAGGAGAACAATTCTGGAATAATGAATCTGGTATCTGAGACACAGGTACACCTTATGTAGAAAATAGACTGAACAGGGGAAACTTTAAAGAGCAGCTCCGTTTTGGAAACAGCCCATAAAAATGACATGGGGGGATTCCACGCTAATTACCTCTCAGGGTTTCCATACCAAATTTGCTTAGGAGAGAAGCACAAAGATTTTTTTTTCTTCCTGAAGTGCAGGCTTGCAAATTCCATCAAGATCTGAAAGTAAAGCTGGACACTGTCTAGCGCGCGCTTCATCATCAGTAACCCTGACTCAAGAGAGGCCTAAACTAATTAAGGTGTGGTGGAAGTGCATACACCTCACTATACCTCAAAATCCAGATTCTGCAAAGAGGAATTTTGTAAAGAATTCTGTGGGAGAAGTGCAAGCCAGAATAGGATTCCAGATCACTCTCCCACTGCAAGATGAGCCCAACAGAGACAAGAGTTAAAAGTAGAATATAAGAACATAAAAATGGCCAGACTGGGTCAGACCAAAGATCCATCTAGCCCCGTATTCTGTCCTCTGACAGTGGACAATGCCAGGTGCCCCAGAGGGAATGAATAGAACAGGCAATCATCAAGTGATCCCTCCCCTGTCACCCATTTCCAGCTTCTGACAAACAGAGGCAGGGACACCATTAGGGTTGCCAGGTGTCCGTTTTTCGCCCAGACAGTCTGGTATTTGTGGCCTTTGTCTGGTAAAAAAAAACACCACATTTTTTTCCTGCCATGTTCGGTATTTTTTTGAAAGTATCTGGCAACCCTAGACACCATCCATGCCCATCCTGTCTAATAGCCATTGAGGGACTTCTCCTCCATGATTTTAGTTAGCTCTTTTTGGAACCTTGTAATAGTCTTGGCCTTCACAACATCCTCCAGCAAGGAATTCCACAGGTTGATTGTGCGTGGTAATACAATTTATTACTGGTGTTAAACTAAGTAGACTACATCTAGGGAGCATGTCTGTTGAGCACAGAGTCATTTGGTATGGTCACTATACTGAATTTATTTATTGTAATTTGCAAAACGATCACATAGTCTTTTCACAAAGGTTAGATCTCATCAAATGTAGCTGAATGAACAATTCATAATAAATATCTATGTCAATTTTCACCTGTTTTTCCAATCCACAGAATGTTCACACACAGATTGTGAAGTCCTTATATTTGTTTGTTATTAGAGCTAATTTTCAATTCCCCCCCTGTGCAAATATTGTCCTAGCTGTTCATTGGAGATAATCTTTATTTGAAATTCACGCCCTGTTGATTAGTTATATAACCCAGGTGGCACCGTTTCTGTTCCCCTCTTGGATGATTTATGAAATGGACCGTGAATTTCAAATCTGGCAATCAAATAGTCCATTTGAAATGTGCTTTGGGCCACTACGTCAGCATCTGAGCATCACTGTTGTTTTTCCGGCATAACAGTGTGAGTAAAGCTTAGAGGTTGGACCATTCATAGAAGGCAAAGATGAGGAAGCCACGAATCTGACTGGAATTAAATTCATTTTCAAATTTGAATGAACATCCCCAGATCATTGCCTGCTCTCTCCCCCAGCTCCACAATTTACTAAATTCTGTCACTGATGGTAAAAATGGGCAATGAAACACGAGGTCTGGCATCATAACAAAGGATGAAACTAAAATGGCAGGCATTTTAACTCTGCAAGCCACGCCTTCTTCCCTAGAGTCCCTGGGAGATGGGCGCTTGCTGGGGTGAGGCTGGAGATGGATCCTTCTGGCGTTAAACTCATAGTTCTATGGGATCACCTAGGTCCACGTTTACCCCAGGGCCTATCACACACAGCACCTGCAGGGCCACTGTGGGAACTCCACCCCGCTGCCCCTCACTGGGGCACGAGGCTGGCCCAGGGAAGTGTGGTTCACCTCTCACTCCACCAGGTGCAGCAGGAGAGCCGGCAGAATTGCCAGGCCTCTGGGCAAGGTGAGGGCCCAGCTCCATGCTCCTGGAATGGATACAGCCTTGGGAAGAAGGGGCAGGGCTGGGGGCAGCCAACCTGAAGCATTGCTTCCCACTGCCAGCCCTCAGAGCCACCCGGAGTGCACTGTGTGGTGCTCCAGCAGCTATTTAAAGGGCCTAGGGCTCTGAATATCACTAGAAGCCCTGGGCTCTTTTGAATCACCTAGCCCCAGGGCAACTGCTTCCTTTGCCCCACCCCTATCGGTGGGCCTCAGTTTCAGGGATCTGCCCCGCCGTCCTGGAATCCAGCCATGCCAGATTCTACCAATGGCGTCCTGCCCTGGGCAGAGGCGTATGCCAGATTCTTCAGAGGAAGGTGAATGCCCTCTTCTCATATAATGCACCTATGCAATGTTGTACCCAGGGCAGCAAAAACTTCCTACCTGGCTGCCTGCCCACGGAGAGCAGAACAATGAATTTGATAATGGCACGAGACACAAGGCTTAAGGCAGAGATAAGGAAGCCAGAGGGTGAGCAAAGCCACAGGGCAATACATCAGGCAGTTGAGGCAGAGCACGTAGGAGATGGATGGGAGACAGACATTAGACTGAGGGAGCCGGCAGCAGCGAGGCAGGAGCGTTTCCATTCCTCTCTCTATCTGGACCATGGTGAAGAATGGTCTTTTTATTTAATAACACCTCGCAGTTTTTAAATGATCAGCCAGGCTTTCAGAGTCCACCTGGCATTAGCGAGGTATTTGGGAAGGGGAACGGTGCTGAAGACTGACTTTTAGCAGGATTTTATAAAAGCCTCTTCAAGCTTCTAGTGATTTGCTGCTGTGGAAAACAAACACAGACTGATACAAATAGAGAGGCAGAAGGAGCTCTCTTGCTCTTATGCACGTGCATGCGCACAGACACACACACACACACACACACACACACACACACACACACACACACACACACACACACTTACTTATCAATTCATCAGACCAACTGAGCTCGAAGGGCTTGTCAAACTCTACGTGGATTCAATTCTTTTTAAAAAGCGGAGTAGATGAATAATATTTTGTGATGCTGGAGAGAACCAAACTCATTTTGTGACTCTCCAGTTTCAGCCCAGGGAGAACGGGAACTGCTGCCCTTGGTATGCTAGTGTGAGACGGGCTGAGGGAGAGGATGTTGACCGAATTGCTCTTGCTCTTTCAAGGTGACCTCAAAAGGGAGGGGAAAAAAGGACTTGTGTCCTTTTATTCCTGTGTGATAGGGGGAGTGGGGGAAAGCCTCACGAGTTCTTTTCCATTCTTCATTACAGGGTTTCCCCCACCCTCTGCTTGTTTTCTTGGATTAGAAATTTGGCTCTTCTCTGCCTTGGAAAATTCTATGGCTATTTTGCCACTGGCATTTTTGATAATACCGCTCACCATTGAGTCACCAGCAGGGCAGCTCCGCCACTGGGAGATGGCTTGCCAGCTGCAAGCCAGTGGGTGGTTTGCACTAGTGCTTTCAACGGTGCTATCACCGCTGGAGCTATGCGGTGATAGCGCAATGGCGAGAGAATTTAAGGAAAGCCCCAGTGTGAACCAGAGCGATGGAAGTGGGCTAATTAGTCATGTGACACTATCATGAGAGCAGAGGGAGAGCTCAGCCACCGACAGGCTGTTGAGAACAATCTGTTGCTTGTTTTTGTTACAACTGTCTAATTAACGACAGAAATGATGTCTTGGACTGAACACCCCAAAGCCTTCCAGGGAGGCCTGAGAACTCAGACTTCTAGAAGGACCAACCTTGGCAATTCCAGACATTTTGGACGTGAAAAACCTGCAGACAAGCACCTAACTCCCCAATGTCCCAATCCGCCTCCCCATTCCAAAA